GCTACTGAGTATTGGCCCAAACTTGAGGTTGGAAACTGGCGGTCTTCCCTGACAAACTACCCTATGCCTCACTCAGCATCCCAATTCCCAGCCAGGTTTTACTTCTTCCTAGCAAAGAAGTGCCTGATTGTGGGGGGTTAGGTATAGCTCAGTGGTAAGAGCGCATGTTTAGCATGCAGGAGGTCCCGGGTTTGATCCCCCGTACCTCCTTTAACAGTAAAAAATAAATATGTATGTACATTTAGGAATGAAACATCATGCTGTACATCAGAAATTGACACAACATTGTAAACTGATGATACTTCAATAAAAAGAATGCAAATTTTAAAAATAATAAAAAATAAAAATATATTTTTAAAAAGTGCCTGACCCTAGGGTGGGCATGTTCTGCCTACAGCAAGTCTCTTCTGACAATACTAATAAACTGGATAAGTGATGGCCATTACTTGCGAGGGAAAGATTAAGGAGGAGCCGGTTTGTTCAAGGGAAGATTTTGCAGGGACAAATATATATATTTTGTATAACATATGAAAATTAATATGTGTATGTATGTGTATATATACATATAGATACTTTATACATATATATACATATATAGCACATCTCACATATTTAACAAATAGCACATTTTCCCATCAAGTTAAAAGGGGCACACACCATAGAAAGCTCAGGCACTAGTGAACTCAGGAGCACAGGTTGAGGGGGCGTCTATCCCTCTGACCATTCTCGTCCCACTTCTTGGCAAAAGAGGAGGGGGCTGTCGGCTGGAAGATTCTGGAAAGTAAAGAGAATTTCCTCTTGGGGCAGGGCCACGCCCACAAGCCATGCTCCTCCAGAGAGAGGCTTGATCGAGCAGAGGGATTTTTTTTGCAAGAGGGATACCAAGGCCTTCTTCCTAGGCTCGTGGGAGCGACAGGGTAGGGGAAACAATTTCAAAATGTGGTCGGGCCACAGGTTGAGAGGGGGCGTCTAGGGATGTTGTATCCAGGCTCCAGGTTCAGGCAGCCGCCTACCCTCAGCACCTGGTGGTCCAGTGTTTTTCAGACTGATTCCTAGGCTCCCTTGTGTCTCTATGCCTAATAGTTAGCAATGCTCCACGAAGGGGACAGAATTCTCTTGGGGAAGGAGAAAGCCCACAGATCTGATTATGCCCTGTCCTTTAAGAACTTAAGAACTTCTAGAATACCTCCTCCATTCTCCACAGGGAAGACCCTCCCGCATCTGGCTGCAGGCAGCCTTCCACACACCTGTCCAGCCCTCCCCTGGCTTGAATGCTTGCTGAAGGAGGACCGGGAGGCAGACCAGTGTCCCTTGGTCTTGGTGCTGGGTTACTGGTGGAATTTGCACGTACAAGTCCACTTCCCATGGGTCTCAGGCCAAATTCACAATACCAGACATCTCAAGCAGAGAACTGACATGAGCACAGGCACATGACCTTTAGAAAAACTCAGCTCCCACCAGGTCATAACAGATTCCTACTCAAGGATTCCCAAAACCCACAGCTGACAGTGAAAAGTGCCATAAGTCAAGGAGGCACCAGATAATAATAAGACCATTTCATTCATGAACATATACGCAAACAGCAAAAAGAAGGTATCAGCACACTGAATGTGCATTAGTAAAATGTATAAATTTAAAAAGTATAAATAAAAGATGTATAAATGTAAAAAATGTAAAATATAAAAAAGTAAAAATGTAAAATATAAATAATATAAAGAAAAATGTAAAAATGTAAAATGTAAGAAAGTAAAAATGTGAAATATAAATATAAATATAGATAAATGTAAAACATAAAAAGTAAAAATTAAATAATACAAGTAAAAATGTATAAATAAATGTAAAAATGTAAAATGTAGAAAATATAATATACAAATAAAATTTTTTTAAAGATTATACAGGGATCCAAGTCAGGTTTAGTATTTTTTAAAAACCAGTTAATGGCTGGGGAGGGTACAGTGCAGTGGTAGAGTGCTTGCCCAGCACACATGAGGTCCTGGGTACAATCCCCAGTACTTTCATTAAAAAACACAAACAAATAAATAAACCTAATTAACACCCCCCACCCGCAGAAAAACAGTTAATGGAATTCACAACATTAACAGACTGAAGGAGAGCGCTCTTCCACCTTCAGTAAATAAATGACTAAGTAAATGAAGGAGCGACCCAGTCCTCTAATGCCATTTGCTATACTTCTTTCAAATCCTTTTACTTCTTTCCTACCTCACAGCTGTTCCTAGACTTACTTTCTTGCCACCATGCTTTCTCTAGTGCTTCCTGAAGTCTATTCCCAATCCAGGAGCTAGGAGGTTCTAGCTAAATCACAAATCAAATCACATCACATCCCTACTTCAAACTCTTCAGTAAATTCCAATTTCCTGAAAGTCCCAACTAGTCCTGCTGTAAGCAGACAGGGTGGGGCAGGGGGTGTCCCCCAAGAAAGAGAACCAAGCATGGCTTTCTTGACCAAAGAGAAGCCATTTTGTGATCTAACTGTGGCCACAATGCTTGTCCTAGAACAGATCTCAGTAATTAATGATCTTTTTTTTAACTTTTTATTTTAATGAAGGTACTGGGGATTGAACCCAGGGCTCTGTGCATGCTAAGCATGCACTCTGCCATCAAGCCATAGCCACCCCTCCACCCCACTCCGCCCTAGTAATCAACGGGGAACACACAAAGCTCTGCCTTGCTTCTGGGATTCTGCACTTTTTTCCACTTCTCAAACCTCCTCCTTCCACGGCCTCTGCCCATCTCAATCCAATTTATTTTCAGTATTTAGATATCAGCACCTAATAGGCTTTCCCTGTCTGTCCATGGTAATTAAGCTCTCCTGTTTGTTATAGGCCCCCACACCGGTTTCATAACTGTTTCCGCTCTAAATAGTCTGTTTCTGTTCTATTTCTGTGGGGACAGCATTGTGGCTTTTTTGATTGTTCCTGTGCCCGTGCAAAAACCCGTGTGGCTCAACCCAAGCACCCAATGAGTTTTGCTGAGTGCCCTGAGAGAGTGCACACATCCAATAATCCAATATAGATACAATACAAACATTAACACAGGAATTGATTTAAATACCTGTCCACGATATAAGCCAGTGTTATTTCTGAAACTTTTTAAGAAAAATTCTTAAAAAGGTAAGATGTGAGAAATATTTTCAGAAACAAGGAGTCTATGTTGCTTAATTTCCTCCAGAATTATTTTTCCTCCAGTATCTCACCTGTGAGTTTTAAACTTCACTGAAAAAACAAAAAAACCCACTTGATCAAACACACATCTTGTTTAAAGTAAGTAATTTCGAATTTCTTCTACTAATATTAGGAAAACTGTTTCCTGCTTTTTCCTGGAGAGCCATGTTTTTAATATATACAACCTCATATATTTCACTTATACTTTAGATTTCTATCACGCTTTAACTACAAGTATATGGCACCAAAATCCATTTAATTATATTAGGAGATGCCTGTATTTTAAAACTGCCACGATCACAGCCTCTGAATGTGAGTTGGAGCTGACATGAGAAGTAGAGAGCCGAGTAATCTTACTTTAATTTTTAGACCTGTTATTTACGTTTTCAGTTCTCCTCTTTCGTTTCATTTTTCTTTATCACACTTACTTATTTACACTCAGCCTAGAATCCTGAGAAAGTAATTTCCCAAACGAATTTATCAAACAAAAATAACTGGAAAAAAAAGTGTATCTTAAAACCTCACCTCAATGCCGCTCACGAAAGCAAAAGCCACGGGTAAAATTCTCTTGTACGAGGGCAGAGAGGGACCTCCTTGACGTAAATTTCACTGGTGCCCCTTACCCGAGAAACCGACGAAACGCCCAGGTCACGAGGACGGAAGGACACAGACCGGGTCAACGACAGCCCGCCTCCCAGCCCCGCGAGACCCCGCCTCCGGAGCTCCAGGGTCCCGCCCCCGCCCAGACCTCCCCCAGACCACACCCCCTAGAGCCTCGTCTCCCCGCTCTCGCCGAGGCCCCGCCCCCTGGAGCTCCACGGCCCCGCCATCGCCTAGATCTCGGCCCTTCGAGCCCGTTCTCCCCGCCCTCGCCCAGACCCCGCCCGCCCGAGCCGCGTCTCCCGGACCGACCCGAGACCCCGCCCCCCGGAGCACCTACTCGCGGCCCTCGCCGAGACTCCGCCCTCCTGAGTGGGGTGCTGCTCACTGGTGCCAGAGGCAGGAAAGATGGCCGCTCCTGGGGACGCCCGCTGCACCTCCCTGGAAGGTGGAAAGGCTCCGGGGCCGACCTACGAGCGCCCGAGGCGGCGCGGCCTCTAGCTTCTGGCTGAGAAGTCCTAGCGTCCTCGCACAGGCCGCCGTTGGGCCCTGCCCGGTAAGCGCCAATAGAGAGCCTGGGGGCGGGGCCAGGCGGGAGGACGGCTGTCTGTTGGGCGGGTCTCGCGCTTACCGCGGCCCCGCCAGGCAGCGGGAGGCTCAACGAGTGTTTATTTTCCCGCTCTGAGCTCGTGCAGGCCAGTACAAGGAGGTACTAAGTTTCTTTCTCTTTTTTTTTAACATTTTTTATTGAGTTATAGTCATTTTACAATATTGTGTCAAATTCCAGTGTAGAGCACAATTTTTCAGTTATACACGAACATACATATATTCATTGTCACATTTTCTCCCCCCCCCCGCTATGAGCTACCACAGGATCTTGTATATATTTCCCTGTGCTATACAGTATAATCTTGAGGAGGTACTAAGTTTCAAAATGGTTTGTTAACACAGCAGTAGATAACTGATACATCTGTCTTCACTACTCTTTATTTATAAACTTACCTGTCCATGCTCAGAAGTTTTTCAATATTATCTTTGAACTTGTCTTACATTTGTATATTAATCTTGGGACTGTTGACTTTATTTAAAACTATCCAGTTTTGTGTGATAAACAGTAGTGGAATTTGACACTCTTTAGGTATGCACATGTTTATATCTTTTATATATTTATAATTTGTTGGTTTTATGTCATTACCATCACTTCCCTCCATAATTCTTTTCCTTTCATTCATTCATTTAGGGAATGTTTGAATCATACCTAAACAGAACTTTTATTTCAATTGTGGAGGAGGACAGATGGAAGAACAAATATATACAAGAAAACGTTATATGTCAGTGCCACATTGGAATATTTCTAGCACGTTTCCAAATTGCATTTGGTGGAGATTACTTCAATCATCTATTTTTAAAATCTTTTTTAAAAACAAGAAATACAACATCAGAAAAGGACAAAACAAATTTATACTGTGATGAATACTTTTTAAATGAAAATCCCCACAACCTTAGAAATCTCACATGTCCCTTCTCCATTGCAAATCCTTAGCTCCCCACCCAAGAGGTAGCAATATCTCTGACTTTTATGGAAATCACTTTCTTGCCTTTCTTTATACTTTTACTACCTAAGGATTCATTCCTAATAATACAGTTTGATTTTTCCTGTTTTTGAGTATTATAGAAATGGAATCATACAAGTTTCTTTAAAATTTACTTTCACTTAACATTGTGAGATTCATGCCATACTATCTGTATACTTGAGTTCATTCATGATAATTAATGTATGGTATTACATTGTATTGTGTACACCACAATGTATTTACCCATATCAGTGATGGCGGACTTTAAATTGGTTCAAGTTTAGGACGATTTCATATTGCTGGTAAGACTATTCTTCTTTGTTTTTAATGGTGGTACTGAGGATTGAACCCAGGACCTCATGCATGCTAAGCATGCACTCTACCACTGAGCTATACTCTCCCGCCCTGTATGAATATTCCTGTGCATATTTTTGGCAGTCATGTGCAAACATACCTGTTGTGTACATTCCAAAGAGTGGAATTACAGGGTCCTTGGACATGCATATCTTCTACTATAACAGATTTGTTCTCCAAATGGATTGTATTAGTTTTCTATACGGTGTAACAAATTACCAGACATATTATCTTACAACAACACATATTATCTCAGTTTCTGTGGGTTAGCTGGGTTCTCTGGGTTAGGGTTTTACAAGGCTGTAATTCAGATATCACCCAGGGGTGGATCTTGACCAGAGATTCAGCTGCAGAAGAATCTGCTTCTAAGCTCCATCAGGTTATTGGCAGAATTATTTTCCTTTTGACTGTATGATTCACGAGAGCTTGCTTCTTCAATGCCAGCAACAGAGAAAGAAAGATTAGAAAGAGTCAGCTAGCAAGTTTTATATAATACAATATAATTATAAGAATGACATCCCATCATCTCTGCCATATTCTCTTGCATATTGCATATAATCATATTGTATTGGTTAGAAGGAATACGATTGTAAAAATTTGCACTCCCACTGATGTATGAGCATTCCTGTCATTCCAAAATTTCCCCATACTTGATATTGTCAACCTTTAAATTTCAACACTCTGTTAGTGTATACCAGCATCTCAGGGTGGATTTATTTCCATTTCACTGATCACTGATACTGAGCATCTTTTATTGTTTGGAACTTTTTTGTGTCTACTCAAGGCTGTTGCCCACTTTCTTCTGAACATTTGTCTTTTTCTTATGCTTTGCAGAATGTATTCACTTATTCCGAACAGTAGTACTTTTCAAATATATATGTTGCAAATATCTTATCCCTCATTATAGCTTACTTTTCCCTTTCTTAATGATGTCTCTTTGGTTAAGAGTTTTTTTAGTATAGCCTGTGAAATTAAATAAAGAAAGTCTCATTTTAAATGGAGTTGGAAAGCCCTAAATTGAGAGCTTTCACTCACCTACCACTTCTTTGAGCCTGCATAGATAGCAAGAAGAAGGAAAATAAAAATATCACTTTTCTTTTGGTGCAAAGGAAGACATTTTTCACATACGAATTTTACCTCTTGCTTGTTAAAAAAAAAAAAGGAAGGAAGATTCCAGTGTAAAAAATTAATAAACAGAAACCTCAATTAAATAGAATTGGAAAGCAATATATTTGATAAACATTTTGTTAATACATTTTAAAGAGCTAAAGAGTAAACACTTCCTCCTTATCAAAAGGAGATAAAGAAGATGTGACGTATATATACAATGGAACATTACTGGATCATTTTAAAAAAGGGTGAAATCCTGCCATTTTCGACAACGTGGATGGAACTTGAGGGTCTTATGCTAAGTGAAATAAGTCAGACGGAGGAAGACAAATCCCATATGATTTCGCTCATATGTAGAATATAAATAAAAACAACCAAATAAATGAACAAATCAAGCAAAAACAAACCCATAGATGAAGAGATTAGAGTAGTGGTTACCAGAGGCAAAGAGGGGATGGGAGAGGGGAGAAAGAATAAAGGGAGTCAACTGTATGGTGACAAGTAGAAATTAAACTTTGGGTTTTAAGCAGGCTGTAGTGTATACAGAAGTCAAAATATGATGTTGTAAACATGAAACATGAATACTGCTATAAACCAAAGTTGCCTCAATTAAAAAATTTTAAAAACAATAAATAAATAAAGAGTCAGGAGAACAGAAGGGGGCGCTCTCATGACTTGCATTGATTGCAGAGCCCAAAAGGAAGAAGAAAGACTCCTTTCTCGGCAAGGACTCAGTCAGTGTAAGGCCTGAACTCTTTGTTTACTGTAGCCCCTCCCAACTTTCATTTCCGCTCTGTAAAAGCATTCTCCTTCTCTTGACATGCAGTGACTTGCGCGTGGCTCGCCATGGTTGCCCGCGCCCAACTGCAATTCTCTGCTAATCCAAAGTAAACCCATCTTTTCTGGAGAAATACCTGGCAGTCGCTTTGTTTCAGGCCAACACCTCCCTGCCCCGGCCACATGCTCTAACCACCACTTTCAGCCAATGAGAAACAATGTTCTTCTCCAAGAAACTTTTGTTTGGAACAACCCTCCCCAATTTTCTCCTAAAACCTAACCAAAGCAAGCCCTTCTCTTTTGTTCTCCAGACTTGCCTGTGATTCATCATAGCCTGCTTGTCCCAAATTACAATTCTCTGCCATTCTCAAACAAACAAAAAAAATTGCTAGTAAAATAACCTGCTGTTTTATTTTTCAGGTTTACAAGTCCAAATGATCAGTCTTTAATATTATGGTTACTATATTTGCTCATCGATAAATTGCCTATTTCCATGCCAGTTTTCTGTTGAAAAGGGGGCAGAACTAGAGGGGAGAGCTGTTTTGGAGGGCGTGGCCTGGGCGGAGATAAGGCCTGGGGAGGCGTGACTAGGGTTGAAGGTCAATCCTAGAAGGCCGAGGCTGGGAGCAGGTACAGGACCTGTGGGCGGGGCTAAGACGGACTCCCGCCTCGCGGTCCGAGCTAGGGGCGGGTTCCAGGTATGGGGGCGGGGCCTCACTTCTGGTTGACCAGTCCTCAGGCTATCCGAAAAAGCTTTTCTTGCTCCTTTTCTCCACGTAGACAACGGAACACCAGGCTTAGGAAGGCTATCTGTCCACAAACGGATCATCTTCTATTTATCCTGTTCCTTCTTAAGATGTTAATGTTTAAATTTTTCTTCTTAAGTGGATTATATCTATTAGGTTCACTCCTAGACACTATACATACGTACATTCAAATTTTCGTTTCATTTCCCGTTTGATTATTACTGGGGAATTCTGAGAAATGAGGGATATACTGTTCTAAATCATAGATGTAAATTGGCGTATCCAGCTGATAAAGTTGATACCCAACACCTATGCATTCCTTTCGTTTTTCCTCTTATGAATGCTATAGAGGAATACAAATGTTAGCAACTTCTCTTAATTCCTGTTACGAAGTTATCATTTGCATGATAAATCTGATGATGTGCTTCCATCTGCTGGTGATCAAGGGTATTACATTCTATCCCAAACAGCTGCTCTTAAAACCAACCATAAAATGT